ACTTGTCGATCGCAAGTACTTGTTCACGAGGCAGTGGCCACTGCTTCATGACACAGTACTTCGAGCCTGGTTTAAGCTCGACCTCGTGTCGAATACCTTCATCCTTCGGTAATTCGCACGGAACAGTTTCAGGGAATACATCCTTGAATTCAACCAAATCTTCATAGAGAGGATTTGTCTTGAGCGATTCCCACGATTGGGAGTCATATCGCTCAACTCGTGTCTTTTCATCTAGGACACTCTCGTCCATAGATGAACTACTGAGAACTCTCTCGTTCTCAGTAAACACTGTTGCTGACCTTATGTCGGTTACACACTCGTCGTCAGCGACGAGTACGCAGATCTGCTTGACTTTGCCACTACGCAGATGACGCACGAACCTTTTATGTTCGAGCGTTGGCAACTGAGTGATCTCCGAAGTTAACTTCGGAGGCGCAATCAGATCAAGTGTATAAGCGCCTACACTTGATCCGTTATTGACTATGACATTCAATGTCTCTGTCATTTCCTGGGGACTTATTCCCTCAGGCCTCGAAAGACTTATTCCTTCGGCTTCCCGGGGACTTATTCCCGCGGGTTTCGGGGAACTTATTTCCGCCGTATTTGTAATCTTGGGACTTATTCCCTTTACTTCCTCTAGCTGGGGTTGCGCAACCACAGCGAGATCCTCTACGAAAGACTCTCCAGTCGATCTAGGATTATCGTTTCGCTTAACCTGAGCGATCGATTGTTTCTCTTCTAGATGTTCCCCGCTAGGGATACATCTTTGTCCCAGTCCACCCGACTTATTCGAGTGGTGGACCTTCGGCGCAGCCTGTGTTTCCTCACAGCCGCCGGAATCTTGCTCCGAAGTGTAACCGTTTGTAACGCTAAGGTTTTGTGCAGTCGTACTAACGACCGTACCACATATGAGGCCATCGCACTCACTCGTAGTACATCCACACGCTTGTGGACGCTCCAAAACGTTCATCAGATGGCCATCTGATGAACAAGCGGCAGGCATCGTTACTGTTCGATGTTGCCAGTTTACCCGTGGTTCGTACCTTTTGAGCCACGCTATTTTAAGGATGACATCAAATTTGTCATCCAAATCCAATACGATAAAGTCATCGTCATATTGGGTATCTTCTAGCGTATAGTGGATCTTCACTATACGCTTCATGACGGTTACGGATGCGCCTGTCGCAAGACGTACCTTCATCCTCGTAGGAGGTGTGTCAAATTCACTGAACTTAAAGTGACCATCTTCTAGCGATTGGCATCGCACAAAATTGTTGGACGCCCCACAATTGACTAGAGCTCGAAGGGACAACTTATTTGTCACTTCGAGTTTCAAGGTAATGAGTGAGATCTCGTTACCTAGAGCAGCAACGCACAACGTTTGTGTGTTGGGAGCAACCTTCATCAAGAGGCCTACAAATTCTCTTGACGTTGCTGGACCATTAGGGTGCTCCGCACCTACTGATCCTGTCCGTTTTCTGACGGTCCATCCCTTTGTTGCGTCTTTGCACCAACAGCGGACCCTCGTCCCTTCCCCTTTCTCATGGGTGGACGGTCACTACGCCCAGTGTCGCGAGACACTGGACGAGAGGCACTACACTCGTAAGCGTAGTGTCCTGTCTTCTGACATCTGTTGCATTTCTGCAACTTCTTGTAGTCTGTAGAGCGAGCCTTCTCGCTCTCTACATAACAGAGTTCCATCGGCTCTGGACCTCCGTTGTCATATCGTCTCGGTTGACGATATGATGTCGAGCTGGCGCGAGCCTGTCTCAGACTGAAGTCTTCCTGTTCCGCAATCAAAATTGCTTGTTCTAGTGAATCTAGTTCAAGTCGGAACAGGTGAGTCTTGACGGGACCATCCGCAAGACCCTGCATGAACACCAAAACCAACGTGTGTTCATCTACCGGGTTGGAACTTATTACAACTCTTGAGATGTCGTATATGTTGCGCGTAAGCGTGCACATCACGCTTACCCTGCTTGAGCTTCAAGAGTTCGATTCGAGCTCTGAACTCAGCTCTAGGCGGTTCAAACGTTTGTCTGAGCCGCGACTTGAAGACTTCCAACGACCCAAACGCATATGGGTCGTGCAACTTGAGCCCCAGTGCCCAAGTCTTGGCACGTGGGCCTGCCAGATTTGATTGGGCAAATGCAACTTGCATATCCCCATCGTCGATGCGACGTGCCCTTATGGCGTCATCCAATTCGACGAACCATCTCAAGAGGGAGTCCTCTTCGACTCCCCTATACTTAGAGATGTCAATCTTCAAGGTCTCGGGTCGACGCGAGTGCATCGACCCACCAGCAGCAGCCTGCTGCTGTCTCAACAGTTCAAACTGTTGAGCACCCTGTTCTCTCAACAACTCTGCTTGTTGAGAACCTTGTTGGTGAAGCAAGGCTACTTTCTCGCGTTCTGCGTCAAGTTCATTTTGAATGAACTTGGCGATAGTAGCATGTTGGGCATCTCTATTGAGAGCCTCTAGCATGACGCTAATAGCATGGATGCCCATGGTTGAACCCATCCGTTCAACCGCATCCCATTCGACATCGCTCAAATGAGAGCAGCCGTCACGCGTAGCGTGAAAGCTTTGGTCATCTTCATCATCTAGTATATTCATGTTAGATGCGAACGTGGTCCGTGGACGGACTACGAAGTGCTACCAGGTGTAACGGGGCACTCTGAAGCTTGTACTGGTGACAGTACAAGCTACTATTTCTGATGACAGAATAAGGCGGTGCCTCGGAACTTCACGTACACTCGTACGTGCAGAGGAAGACGGTAAGAAGAAGCGAGTACTTGGTTAGAGTAAAAAGTAGAACTGTATTTATAATAGTTAATGTCTGTAATAAATCGCTATTTATCCTCACCTAACTATGTCTAAATACAAATGTGTATATCAACTATCTGCTCACCACTCATTGCGTGCGTCTGTCGTGGCGCGTCTTCGTTGGTGGATATAATGGCCTATATCAACCAATTAGGAACTACTCGTAAGTGCTACAGAATATTTGTCCTTATGACAATATTCTGAGAATATAACTCTTATAGTTATATTCTATTAACAATTTCTTATAAATTGTTATGTAACGATTCACCCCGTTACATCACCCCCCTTAACCATTAGTCACTTAAGTGACTGATTGACTAAATGGATACTCGTACCAAATCATTTGGGACGGGGTTTGCACTTGTTGGTCCGAGTCCACTTCCCAACAATTCATTGCATTGTTCACAAGTCCATGCGATGCGCGAGCAAGGCCGCCGAGAGCGCGTCCGCACGTCTCTGTGCGGACGCCGAAGCAGAAACCACAGCAACTGATGTCTCATCGGTTCCGGAAGCGACCCAGCCTGTGTCACTTGGTGATGCAGGCGCTGGTCATGAAGACACTCATGTCTTCACAGAGTACGAGCTCGGTGTCTCATACTCTCCTGATACGGAAGACGGGTCCGTATCGACGGTGATTGAATCCAAGCCGCCTACCAAGCGTGGCATGGGTGATGCTTTGCGTCGCAGCATCTCTGGTTCATCTGATGAATCAGATGAACCATCGCCGAAGCGAAGGCGCTCGAGGTCGCGAGACTCGGGCGCTAACAGTGGTGTCGGTCCTTCTATGGACACCACTTCACAGCGAGGTGCCAGTACTTCTGTCGGCACGTCGCAGGAAGAGCGGGACCGCAATGTGTTGCGTCTCGCTCCTGAGAAGAAGGCATGGATGCCTCCCAAATCCGTCATGGATCACTTGTCGGCGACGACGAGTGATCGTTATCGAACACGATTGTTCGATTCGTCAAGGATCCATCACCTTGACCCCAGTGCGAAAAACTATCGCGCTGAACATAAACTCTTCATCGATGCTTTCTTCAAACATCGATGGTACAGTGGGAATCACAAACGTGATGGCCCCTCACTGCTTCAAGCGTGGAACGCCTACATCCATAACCTCGAGGATGTAGGTCGTGACGCTTGGAACGACAAACTGATCAAAGCTCGTGATAAGTTTGAAAAGCGAACCCCGACAGGTGCACGCTACAAGCTGCATCGTCTGTCAAGGGAGAAAGGATTACCCTGCCTCTCTTGGGGAGACTCGTGCCCATGTTGTGTGAACAACTCTGCACGAGTACCTAAGGAGGCTTACCTCCTTACCAGCCCGTGGTGGCGCGTACGTATTTCTAGTGAGATGTACGAAGGGATTGACAACCTGAAATCCCTGTATGACCGTGCCGGGAAGACTTTCTCCGGCGGTCCTTCTGCGGCACAGGATGTGCCGCGTCGTACTGCTCAACCAGACCCAGTACGTCAACCATCAGTTGGGAGCGGGGCTCCCAAGTATCCCAGGACGGGGGATAGCCGCGCCACCGGACGAGATAACTCGTCCGACGTCCGTTCACGTCGCGGTGGTTCAACAGCTGCTCAACTAGATAGCGCTGGCCACCGCGAGAGTCCTCTAATGAAGGTGGAGGAGGAGGAAAGACGCTCTCCTCACAGTCATGGGGATCCATGTGTTCCCGAGAGCTTCTTTGATCGCGTAACGCAAGGGTTACGCGACGATCTCAAACATGAGCGGGACAGGCGTCTCCAACTGGTGGACACTGCCTCGAAGCATCAAGCTGAGTTTGCCTTTGCTCAGCTTGAGAACGAGAGATCTCTGACATCTCTTCGTGACGAGCTAAGGGTAGCTCGTGGGATTGTTGATCGGTCTCGGGATGAGATAGCTGCTCTTCAGACCCTTGTTGATGCCCACCATCGGGAGCACAAGGCTCTCTGCGAGATGCTTGAGCGCAAGGGCGTTCTTCATCGGAAGAAGCAGCGTACTGATGGTACGGCTTAAGCCGACCAACGTAAAACGTGGGATGCGTTCGCATCTTACGTGGTAACTCGATCGTGTATGCATTGCCTAGGCGGTGCAATACACAAAATGGGCCGATGTACTTGGATACAAGTTTACTGCTACCCAAGTTAGTCACTACATGCTTTGGTAGATTAACCGTAGACAGTAGGACTAAGTCATCTTTATTAAATAAAGAGTGTTTGCCCTTCCATTCTTATCAGCGTTTTGCTTTTGCTTATCCACCGCTTCGGCGATGGAGTCTTGCACAAAACGGACTACCGTTTCACGAGCCAGTATGAACTCATCTGATGACTCGTTAGCTACAGTGCGCTGTGAGCGCACTGCAGCAACATCAACCTTTTCTTCAGTGAGGGCTTCCGCACTCTCACTGGCATCATCTTCTTCGATATCGATGTTATCGATATCGGCATCAAACGCAATGACCTCTTCGTCAGAGCGTGATGAGCGTGAACCAAATCGGTTTTTGCTCGCGCGAGTCCCTCCCCCCCTTAAACCAGAGTTACACTCCAGTAAGGTGGGTACACGCGGATGGCGCAAGCCATTCACGTAAAACGGTGTATGTGTCGTGGACGCATGCACCGAGTTGTTAATGGCAAACTCTACCATTGGCAAAAACTCACTCCAACTCTTAAAGGAGTGTACGTATCCTCGAAGTATCTCTTCAAGGACACGATTGGCACGATCCGTCTGACCATCTGACTCTGGATGATCAGATGTCGACATCTTCAAGCGCGTTCCGAGTGATTTGAACACGGAACGCCAGAAATCAGCAGTGAATCGTGGATCTCTGTCTGATACGAGTTCACGGAGCAACCCATGAAGTCGGAAGATGGTGTCAATAAAGACACAAGCACAGCCACTTGCCGTGATTGTCTCTGGTACAGCCACAAGGTGTACCATTTTGCTGAATCTGTCAACAAATACGAGAATACCCGTATTCCCGCGTGCGTCTTTGGGTAACCCGAAGACTAAATCATTGAGATGGATTCCCAGCACTCAGCCGGAACCGGTAGAGGCTGTAAAGGTGCACGCAGTGAAGGACTTGACTTCACTCGTTGGCAGACTTCGCATGCGCGAACATACTTTCGCACAAACTGATACTGGCGGGGCCAGTAAAAGTCTCGACTTACCGTGAGATATGTTTTCTCTCGGCCACGATGTCCTCCTATAGGAGCATCGTGATACTCGAACATGATCCGCAAACGCAGGTCAGTATCATCTGGAATGACAACACGTGGTGTGTCACCAGAAACGGCTGTATAATACAGTGAACCGTTACGAGTAGTGTATCGATCTGATGCAGATCGATACGCAGACGACAATCGTTTCAACGATTCTCGAGATGGCTGTGAGATATGTGTCAACAACTTCACAATCTCACCATCTTGGGCATATGCCCGCCTCACATCATCATACAACGTTGTAGATGGGACTGAGGACGTCATAACCGCAACAGTGACTGTCTCACTGTTGGGTTTCGCGACTGTTTCAAAGTCGGGACGACGTGAGAGTGCATCAGCGACGACATTAAGTCGTCCTGGTTTGTACTCGACCGTAAAGTTGTATCCTGCAAAGAATGACAACCACCGCGCCATTCGTTGTGAAAGGTGCGGGCTGTTCACTGCCGTGCGTAATGACGCATGGTCAGTGTAAACAATGAAGGGTCTATCTCCTAATAGATAGACTCTGAACTTCGCGAGTGCATACTTCATGGCAAGGAGTTTCTTGTCATGCACTGGATAGTTCCGCTCAGCTGGTTGCAGCTGACGCGACTGATAGCAGACGACGCGTTCAACGCCTTCAAGATCGTACTGCATTAATGCACAGCCGATTGCGAAATCGCTGGCATCACAGACCACATGAAATGGCCTGTCCTGATCGGCTATTGCTAGGACTGGGAATTGTATCAAGCTCTGCTTGATACCATCAAAAGAGCGCTGACATTCAGCGTTCCATAACCACCTCTCGTTCTTTTTCAACAAACGAGAGAGGTGCACAGTCATCTCGGCGTAATTGCGTGAATACTTGTGCAAACACGCCGCTAGCTTGAGGAATTTTCGAAGACCTTTGACATCAACCGGCACGGGCCAGTAGGTGATCGCCTTGATCTTTTCGGGATCAGGACGTACACCGTTCTTACCAACGATGCACCCAAGAAGTGGTATTTCGCTTGCTGCAAATATACACTTCTTGAGGTTTGCATACAATTGATGCTTTTGCATGATTGTAATAACCTGGCGGACATGGTACCTGTGAACCTCAACATCCGACTTTCCATCCATAGCCCGACTATGGATGAATACGTCATCGAAATAACTCGGCGCAAATTCTTGAACTGGTCTCAACAGATGTGATACACATCTGTTGAACGTGGCAGGGGCATTACTAAGCCCTTGTGGCATTACTAGCCATTCCCAGAGCATGCCGCTAGGCGTGCTAACTGCGGTATAGGGTATATCCCGTTCTCGCATAAGGATTTGATAGAAGCCATCCATCAAATCCATGGACGAAAAGATGGTACTCTTTGACATACCATCAATGATTACGTCCTTCCTCGGTATCGGCGTCTGAGCCGGTACCGTTGCAGCGTTCAACTTGTTAAATGCATGCACTATCCGCCACCCTCCTGTTGCTTTTCGCACACAGAAGGTCGGAGAGCTATGTGGGGAAGTTGGTTCCCTCACATGGCCCGCAGCTAAACGATCGGCACAGAACTTGTCGATCGCAAGTACTTGTTCACGAGGCAGTGGCCACTGCTTCATGACACAGTACTTCGAGCCTGGTTTAAGCTCGACCTCGTGTCGAATACCTTTATCCTTCGGTAATTCGCACGGAACAGTTTCAGGGAATACATCCTTGAATTCAACCAAATCTTCATAGAGAGGATTTGTCTTGAGCGATTTCCACGATTGGGAGTCATATCGCTCAATTCGTGTCTTTTCATCTAGGACACTCTCGTCCATAGATGAACTACTGAGAACTCTCTCGTTCTCAGTAAACACTGTTGCTGACCTTATGTCGGTTACACACTCGTCGTCAGCGACGAGTACGCAGATCTGCTTGACTTTGCCACTACGCAGATGACGCACGAACCTTTTATGTTCGAGCGTTGGCAACTGAGTGATCTCCGAAGTTAACTTCGGAGGCGCAATCAGATCAAGTGTATAAGCGCCTACACTTGATCCGTTATTGACTATGACATTCAATGTCTCTGTCATTTCCTGGGGACTTATTCCCTCAGGCTTCGAAGGACTTATTCCTTCGGCTTCCCGGGGACTTATTCCCGCGGGTTTCGGGGAACTTATTTCCGCCGTATTTGTAATCTTGGGACTTATTCCCTTTACTTCCTCTAGCTGGGGTTGCGCAACCACAGCGAGATCCTCTACGAAAGACTCTCCAGTCGATCTAGGATTATCGTTTCGCTTAACCTGAGCGATCGATTGTTTCTCTTCTAGATGTTCCCCGCTAGGGATACATCTTTGTCCCAGTCCACCCGACTTATTCGAGTGGTGGACCTTCGGCGCAGCCTGTGTTTCCTCACAGCCGCCGGAACTTTGCTCCGAAGTGTAACCGTTTGGTACACTAAGGTTTTGTGCAGTCGTACTAACGACCGTACCACATATGAGGCCATCGCACTCACTCGTAGTACATCCACACGCTTGTGGACGCTCCAAAACGTTCATCAGATGGCCATCTGATGAACAAGCGGCATGCATCGTTACTGTCCGATGTTGCCAGTTTACCCGTGGTTCGTACCTTTTGAGCCACGCTATTTTAAGGATGACATCAAATTTGTCATCCAAATCCAATACGATAAAGTCATCGTCATATTGGGTATCTTCTAGCGTATAGTGGATCTTCACTATACGCTTCATGACGGTTACGGATGCGCCTGTCGCAAGACGTACCTTCATCCTCGTAGGAGGTGTGTCAAATTCACTGAACTTAAAGTGACCATCTTCTAGCGATTGGCATCGCACAAAATTGTTGGACGCCCCACAATTGACTAGAGCTCGAAGGGACAACTTATTTGTCACTTCGAGTTTCAAGGTAATGAGTGAGATCTCGTTACCTAGAGCAGCAACGCACAACGTTTGTGTGTTGGGAGCAACCTTCATCAAGAGGCCCACAAATTCTCTTGACGTTGCTGGATCAGTAGGGTGCTCCGCACCTACTGATCCTGTCCGTTTTCTGACGGTCCATCCCTTTGTTGCGTCTTTGCACCAACAGCGGACCCTCGTCCCTGCCCCTTTCTCATGGGTGGACGGTCACTACGCCCAGTGTCGCGAGACACTGGACGAGAGGCACTACACTCGTAAGCGTAGTGTCCTGTCTTCTGACATCTGTTTCATTTCTGCAACTTCTTGTAGTCTGTAGAGCGAGCCTTCTCGCTCTCTACATAACAGAGTTCCATCGGCTCTGGACCTCCGTTGTCATATCGTCTCGGTTGACGATATGATGTCGAGCTGGCGCGAGCCTGTCTCAGACTGAAGTCTTCCTGTTCCGCAATCAAAATTGCTTGTTCTAGTGAATCTAGTTCAAGTCGGAACAGGTGAGTCTTGACGGGACCATCCGCAAGACCCTGCATGAACACCGAAACCAACGTGTGTTCATCCACCGGATTGGAACTTATACAACTCGTGAGATGTCGTATATGTTGCGCGTAAGCGTGCACATCACGCTTACCCTGCTTGAGCTTCAAGAGTTCGATTCGAGCTCTGAACTCAGCTCTAGGCGGTTCAAACGTTTGTCTGAGCCGCGACTTGAAGACTTCCAACGACCCAAACGCATATGGGTCGTGCAACTTGAGCTCCAGTGCCCAAGTCTTGGCACGTGGGCCTGCCAGATTTGACTGGGCAAATGCAACTTGCATATCCCCATCGTCGATGCGACGTGCCCTTATGGCGTCATCCAATTCGACGAACCATCTCAAGAGGGAGTCCTCTTCGACTCCCCTATACTTAGAGATGTCAATCTTCAAGGTTTCGGGTCGACGCGAGTGCATCGACCCACCAGCAGCAGCCTGCTGCTGTCTCAACAGTTCAAACTGTTGAGCACCCTGTTCTCTCAACAACTCTGCTTGTTGAGAACCTTGTTGGTGAAGCAAGGCTACTTTCTCGCGTTCTGCGTCAAGTTCATTTTGAATGAACTTGGCGATAGTAGCATGTTGGGCATCTCTATTGAGAGCCTCTAGCATGACGCTAACAGCATGGATGCCCATGGTTGAACCCATCCGTTCAATCGCATCCCAATCGACACCGCTCAAATGGGAGTAGCCGTCACGCGTAGCGTGAAAGCTTTGGTCATCTTCATCATCTAACATATTAATGTTAGATGCGAACGCGGTCCGTGGACGGACTACGAAGTGCTACCAGGTGTAACGGGGCACCCTGAAGCTTGTACTGGTGACAGTACAAGCTACTATTTCTGATGACAGAATAAGGCGGTGCCTCGTAACTTCACGTACACTCGTACGTGCAGAGGAAGACGGTAAGAAGAAGCGAGTACTCGGTTAGAGTAAAAAGTAGAACTGTATTTATAATAGTTAATGTCTGCAATAAATCACTATTTATCTTCATCTAACTATGTCTAAATACAAATGTGTAAATCAACTATCTGCTCACCACTCATTGCGTGCGTCTGTCGTGGCGCGTCTTCGTTGGTTGATATAATGGCCTATATCAACCAATTAGGAACTACTCGTAAGTGCTACAGAATATTTGTCCTTATGACAATATTCTGAGAATATAACTCTTATAGTTATATTCTATTAACAATTTCTTATAAATTGTTATGTAACGATTCACCCCGTTACACGGAGTACTAAAAAGTTTCTCGAATTTTGATGCCAATATGGGGTACTACGCGCGACAGCTAGCGCCAGAGAGTCGGCCTCTCACTGCATTCTGCCTGCCGTTTGGCAAATATCAGTACAAGCGATTGCCCATGGGAATTGTTACGGCACCTGACGAATATTAGGCTAGCATGACGAAGATCCTCGAAAACTTCAAATTTGTGATTATCTACCTGGATGACATCATCTTGTTTTCTCGTACGATTAATCTCGAGCACATAAGAAGTGTATTCGAGCGTCTTCGTTAGTTTAACATCACGTTGAACGGCCGCAAATGTCGTGTCGTATACTCAAACGTAGAGTATTTGAGATTTGTACTGAGCGATGAAGGAATCAAGCCTCAAGAGAAGAAGATTCGCGCCATCTAACAGCTCGCAGTTCCCAAAAATAAACGACAGCTGCTCGATTCCTAAGAATGATCAATTACTATCGTGAGATGGTGAGCAATAAGTCGGCGATGCTAAGATCACTTACCAGATTGACGTCGAACAAGGTTCCTTTCACTTGTAACTTTACGGAAAACAACGCTTTCGAAGGAATTAAAAAAGAGCTGTCTCATTCCATTCTATTGTCCTATCCGGACTATAGTAAACCGTTCGACATATCTGCGGATGCAAGCGGCAAACAACTTGGCGGCATTATCCAGCAGAATGACGAGATTATCGCCTGATATTCTCGAACCCTGACGACCGCGCAGCAGAACTATACAACGATGGAATTGGAATTGCTCTCTGTGGTGAAAATATTGAAAGAATATCGAACGATGTTACTTGGGTTTCCAGTTGTAGTTCATACCGACTACAAGAACTTAATTAACCCGACGGAGAACTCTCTCTTTTTAGAGTATTGACTAACATGCAAATTTATCCCAGGAAAGAGCAGCATCGGTGCTGATGCCTTTTCTCGATTACTATTGTGTGATGGAGCCAAGTTTGCCAGAGAGGAAGTAGACGCTGACGTCGAAGCGATGGTGACAGATCTAAACTCAGCGGAATGTGTTATTTCTGGACTTTATATCGGGGAACATCAAGCTGCAAATGACATGACTCGGAGTATCATCGAGTCTTGTGTGCAAGGAACTAATGACCCCGATTATAGCATCATCAGCATGATGAGGGTGCTTCTTTTAGCCTACCAAAAGCGTGTGGATATCTTGAAGGAGCTTCGCATGGACATTGTCGAATGGTATCATCTGAACCTGTGTCATCCTGGCATCAAGCGGCAGTATAATACCATGAAGCCAATTTTTACTGGTTGGGCATGGAGAAAAGTATCGTTGAATCTATACGAGCCTGTATCACTTGCAAGCGCGCAAAACTCCACGGAGGTTCTAAAGCACAAGGTCAGCTACCTCCAAGCCACAATGGTCTTGTGGACCCTTTCGATGTAGTTCATGTGGACAATATCGGACCGTACAGACCCGAAAAACATTATGTACTGACAGTGGTTGACGAGGCGACGCCATGGCTAGAAGTCTCCGTGCAATTTAACAAGCAAGCCAAGACTACGGCTGAAAACTTTGATGCGACCTGTGTAACGGGGTGAATCGTTACATAACAATTTATAAGAAATTGTTAATAGAATATAAATATAAGAGTTATATTCTCAGAATATTGTCATAAGGACAAATATTCTGTAGCACTTACGAGTAGTTCCTAATTGGTTGATATAGGCCATTATATCAACCAACGAAGACGCGCCACGACAGACGCACGCAATGAGTGGTGAGCAGATAGTTGATTTACACATTTGTATTTAGACATAGTTAGATGAAGATAAATAGTGATTTATTGCAGACATTAACTATTATAAATACAGTTCTACTTTTTACTCTAACCGAGTACTCGCTTCTTCTTACCGTCTTCCTCTGCACGTACGAGTGTACGTGAAGCTACGAGGCACCGCCTTATTCTGTCATCAGAATAAGTAGCTTGTACTGTCATCAGTACAAGCTTCAGGGTGTCCCATTACACCTGGTAGCACTTCGTAGTCCGTCCACGGACCACGTTCACATCTAACATGAATATGTTGGATGATGAAGATGACTAAAGCTTTCACGCTACGCGTGGCGGCTACTCCCATTTGAGCGGTGTCGATTGGGATGCGGTTGAACGGATGGGTTCAACCATGGGCATCCATGCTGTTAGCGTCATGCTAGAGGCTCTCAATAGAGATGCCCAACATGCTACTATCGCCAAGTTCATTCAAAATGAACTTGACGCAGAACGCGAGAAAGTAGCCTTGCTTCACCAACAAGGTTCTCAACAAGCAGAGTTGTTGAGAGAACAGGGTGCTCAACAGTTTGAACTGTTGAGACAGCAGCAGGCTGCTGCTGGTGGGTCGATGCATTCGCGTCGACCCGAAACCTTGAAGATTGACATCTCTTAGTATAGGGGAGTCGAAGAAGACTCCCTCTTGAGATGGTACGTCGAATTAGACGACGCCATAAGGGCGCGTCGCATCGATGACAGGGATATTCAAGGTGCATTTGCCCAGTCAAATCTGGCAGGACGTGCCAAGACTTGGGCACTGGGGCTCAAGTTGCACGACCCATATGCGTTTGGGTCGTTGGAAGTCTTCAAGTCGCGGCTCAGACAAACGTTTGAACCGCCTAGAGCTGAGTTCAGAGCTCGAACCGAACTCTTGAAGCTCAAGCAGGGTAAGCGTGATGTGCACGCTTACGCGCAACATATACGACATCTCACGAGTTGTATAAGTTCCAATCCGGTGGATGAACACACGTTGGTTTCGGTGTTCATGCAGGGTCTTGCGGATGGTCCCGTCAAGACTCACCTGTTCCGACTTGAACTAGATTCACTAGAACAAGCCATTTCCATTGCGGAGCAGGAAGACTTCAGTCTGAGACAGGCTCACGCCAGCTCGACATCATATCGTCAACCGAGACGATATGACAACGGAGGTCCAGAGCCGATGGAACTCTGTTATGTAGAGAGCGAGAAGGCTCGCTCTACAGGCTACAAGAAGTTGCAGAGATGAAACAGATGTCAGAAGACAGGACAATACGCTTACGAGTGTAGTGCCCCTCGTCCAGTGTCTTGCAACACTGGGCGTAGTGACCGTCCACCCATGAGAAAGGGGAAGGGACGAGGGTCCGCTGTTGGTGCAAAGACGCAACAACGGGATGGACCGTCAAAAAACGGACAGGATCAGTAGGTGCGGAGCACCCTACTGGTCCAGCAACGTCAAGAGAATTTGTAGGCCTCTTGATGAAGGTTGCTCCCAACACACAAACGTTGTGCGTTGCTGCTCTAGGTAACGAGATCTCACTCATTACCATGAAACTCGAAGTGACAAATAAGTTGTCCCTTCGAGCTCTAGTCGATTGTGGGGCGTCCAACAATTTTGTGCGACGCCAATCGCTAGAAGATGGTCACTTCAAGTTCAGTGAATGTGACACACCTACTACGAGGATGACGGTACGTCTTGCGACAGGCGCATCCGTAACCGTCATGAAGCGTATAGTGAAGATCCACTATACGCTAGAAGATACCCAATATGACGATGACTTTATCGTATTGGATTTGGATGACAAATTTGATGTCATCCTTGGAATACCGTGGCTCAAAAGGTACGAACCACGGGTAAACTGGCAACATCGGACAGTAACGATGCATGCCGCTTGTTCAACAGATGGCCATCTGATGAACGTTTTGGAGCGTCCACAAGCGTGTGGATGTACTACGAGTGAGTGCGATGGCCTCATATGTGGTACGGTCGTTAGTACGACTGCACAAAACCTTAGTGTACCAAACAGTTACACTTAGGAGCAAGATTCCGGCGGCTGTGAGGAAACACAGGCTGCGCCGAAGGTCCACCACTCGAATAAGTCGGGTGGACTGGGACAAAGATGTATCCCTAGCGGGGAACATCTAGAAGAGAAACAATCGATCGCTCAGGTTAAGCGAAACGATAATCCTAGATCAACTGGAGAGTCTTTCGTAGAGGATCTCGCTGTGGTTGCGCAATCCCAGCTAGAGGAAGTAAAGGGAATAAGTCCCAAGATTACAAATACGTCGGAAATAAGTTCCCCGAAACCCGCGGGAATAAGTCCCCGGGAAGCCGAAGGAATAAGTCCTTCGAAGCCTGAGGGAATAAGTCCCCAGGAAATGACAGAGACGTTGAATGTCATAGTCAATGACGGATCAAGTGTAGGCGCTTATACACTTGATCTGATTGCGCCTCCGAAGTTAACTTCGGAGATCACTCAGTTGCCAACGCTCGAACATAAAAGGTTCGTGCGTCATCTGCGTAGTGGCAAAGTCATGCAGATCTGCGTACTCGTCGCTGACGACGAGTGTGTAACCGACATAAGGTCAGCAACAGTGTTTACTGAGAACGAGAGAGTTCTCAGTAGTTCATCTATGGACGAGAGTGTCCTAGATGAAAAGACACGAATTGAGCGATATGACTCCCAATCGTGGGAATCGCTCAAGACAAATCCTCTCTAT